CGTAAAAGAGTAATGAATTAGTTATACTTACATATTTTTCTTACTTTTTAGAATGCCAAAACAGACTAGAAAAGAGAGGCTGCTTAAAAAAATAATGGCAGAAAGAAAAAGAAAAGAAAGAATAAATTACGGAAAAGAGAGAGGGATAGATATCATGAGAAGAAAAAAAGGTAAACTGGCTTCTCAGAAACTAAAATCCCAACGCAAGCATCGCGCTTTGCAAATAAAAAACAAAATATATCAACGAGAATATTAATAAGCAGCAGCATACCTTGTTTTCAAGAAATTTACGTCCACGAACAAGTCGTGATTGTAGTAGTCCAGATGCTCGCACCAAAAGTAATAATAAAATGACTTTGCAACATCAATACTCCGACAGCTTACAGCCGACCACAAGTCATATTACTCCAAGTACCTAAGTCACAAAATCTTCGCACAAGTAGCCATGCTGAACTTACAGCGCTGTCATCCCCAACATCTCCATGTGTCAGCAGTATTGATATTTGTACTGTTTCCATATTATGCCCTGATAGTCCAACTTCAGATACATCAATAACGTCAGTGGACTTTAAACGTGCGTTTAGGAATAAGTTCCGACGGTATCAAAAATGCAAAGCCAAAGAGATAGAGATATTGCAGCGAAGGATTTCTGAACTCAAGAGTTAAGAGAGAGAAGAGTTAAGAGTTTATTATGTTTTGGTTTCTTAGTTTTGTTGAGGAAATTTTTGTTGTTTGACAAGTAATTTTGTTCAAAATAAAAATATTGTTTTATGTCTACACTCATAAATTATCATTATGAGTTCATCAGATAGTTAAATAATAATAAATATTATCATAACAAGAGTGAGTTTTATTAACTGATGGAGTTTTTGGTCATTCCCGAGTATTTCAGACATTGGGCTTTATTAGTGAGATTTAAGTTTGTGACAAAAACTGATTTTTAATGGATTGTTTTAAGCACTCTCAATTTTGGTGGACAAATATCAATTTTGGTGGCTGCACTAGTCTTTCAACTCAAATATCTCAAAAAGTTACCGGGATATTGTCAGACCTCATGAAGATTCCTAAAGCTTGAGCCTTCTATTTTTGTACCAGGTCAATAGTTTTCACGAAAAGTAAAGAAAAAATTTCGCCACCAAAATTGACAAAAATATGCACTTGTTGATATTCACCCTCATATATTTTTAATCTGAAACACAGGCTTGGACCTAGTTCAGGTTTCACATATTTTTAGACTTTGTTTAGATATTAAGATTTATTTTGTAATCTGGCTTTTTACATCAAATAAACATTTTATTATATATTTATAATACATATTATATAGTTTAGCAATTCCTGTTACGGTATGTAACAGGAATGTACTAAATACCTATATGTTAGAAAAATCATGTTTATTTTTTAGTGAAACTTAGATAGTTTTAGTTTTAAGTAAAATTTTCTATCTAAAGTATTACGACTACTTCCCCTTTAGGTGGCATTACAAAATTCCACCCTGTATATAAAGAGAATACAAAAAGTTTGAAGTTTAATAAACTGCCGTTTAAAAAATTAAATATAACCCATTTATGACCCATCTGTAGGTTTGCCTACTGTCGCGGAGAACCTAACGGGTAACCGGGGCTCCGGCTCGACGTGCAGGAGAAGGAACAGGATTGGATTTTAGTCAGTAAGAGTCTGACACTCCCTTCTGCCTCACCCAGGCGGGAGCAGACATTCGATGATTTTCCCCCCTTAAAAAAAAAGGTTTGCCTACTAGAGATTTTATGAATTTATGATTTCATATATATTTTAGGTTTATATAAGAAACTATTCATAAAAACAGTTTCTATGTACTCACTCAATCATAAACACAGAAGAAATGTATTCAAAGACCTATACACACATGTACATAAGCTATGAGCTACATTATTGCTTGAAACTCACGTTTTTAATATAATGTTGCTGCTCGGTTTTCGATATAGCGTTTGCCCTTCAATCCTTCCTATCTTATTTGTTTTTTCTGAAGAATAGAATATTGAGTACATACCTATTGAGAAAAGGTGGCGTGGGCAGTCGTGGTAGTCCGGAGATGTAAGACGCCCGCTTCTCATGTATGAGGGTGTGTAACCTACCAACGGCAAGTACCAATGTGACTTTTTCCGAGTTATATGTACTTTCTAAGATTATTTAGACACCACTGACAAACCTGGACAATCTCTAACTATAAGTTTGAAATCGCCAACCCGCATTGAGCAAGCATGGTGATTAATGCTCGAACCTTCTCTGTGTGAGAAGAGGCTTTTACTCAGCAGTGGGCATTTATAGGCTGTTGATGGATGGCGTAGGTTGATCAAAAATAATAGTCCCATCTGACTAGTATTCACAACAAAATTGATATCCATATATAAGGAGAAATAAATTACTATCACAAAACTACTAAATAATTTTGTATTCCATTTTGTCGGCCCGCTCAAATGTAAGATAGATGCGATGTAGCTATATAAATATACGCTTAATGTAAGTTTATCTAAGCTATGCAAAATTTTAATAACGCAAAAGTCAATTTTATATTACATACCACTATTTTTTTAACACTCCAAAGTATAATTGGACATTTCGGTTTCAAAATTCGCTGTATCGAATTTTAGTAACATACACACGTAGTTTGTACCTAGATAAAGTATAGTTTTGTTTATCATCCTACAAATGAAAAATATAATGTTGAAGGAAGAACAAAGAAATAGGATGACGTCAACACGCAAACTTTAGCATAGATATACTTACCTACTTTTTTCATATTTCTGCTTCATGGCAATCTGTTATCCAACAACAAGGCACTTCTTTATTTAATTTCTTAGTTTATTTATTTATTGGTTAACTCGGTATACACTAGTACTAGTATCTATACTCCAATTTATGTTTTCCTCAAGAGCCACACTTGTATAAAACTTTTCACACGACTATGTCAAATCCCTACCTACTACCAACTTAAAATACGTGATATTTAGTTTGTGTGGGTTCAATACTTGGCAAGAACTTCTCGAGTTGTATGCACTTTCCGACTCCACCGTACTGCTGCAGAGAAAATATCGGGGAACACCTGAACTGGATAACGAATATCGGCAGGTATTTTTTTATTTTTATTAAATTCACATATTCATGTCATTTAGGGTAAGTTCGCCTATTCGCGCCCAGCACGAGTTCGCGTCCATTATACAGATCGCCCCGAATACAGGGTGGAATCTTGTATGCCTCCCTGAAGGAGCAGTCCTCTTAATACTTTAGATAGGAAATTTTAATCAAAGAAAAAATTCCTTTATTTTTGAAAAGAAAGAATATGGCATACGTAGATTTTTAAAAACTCGCTTGCACACGGTAAAATCTGTAAAAGTTGAACCTGTACTTTTATTGCATCGATCATTAGGGTCAATAAGGATGATATTTCTTTAACAAACTTCATAAATTGAATGAACAGAAAATAATGAAATCTTAAATTATTAATTTAATAGTTGACCCAATGGTTGGAGCACTTAAAGTGTTAAGAGTTCCCCTTTAGGCGGCATTACAAAATTAAATTCCACCCTGTATAAGATACTGAAAATATGATCAAACAAATATATACTAAGTATTACCAATATGGTGGTAGTTATATTTTTGTTTTTTTTTTATTGCGATCCGTGATATGGCCGGGAACAGGAGAACTGGCCTTACATTTTTTTTATGTCCTGTGGAAGGAACTTTTCAGAAGTTGTATGTACGTTCTATCTTTATTTTAACAGCTGCATACAGAGATAAGTTATATATTTCTTAGACCACGCTTATATTTTGGCAGTGGCACATATGTTAAATGTAGCTATCACCCACTTTTTTTGGATATATTTAGCGTTTTATGTAAGGGCCAAGTCCATACAAAATATTTGGATTTTCGAAGTGCAAATTAATTTCCCTCGAGGTGCCATACCTACAAATAACTAGCCACGAAGAAAATGAACAAAAAGGAAGAGAAAATCACTCAGTACATTAATTATTTAAATTTATTATCAACAGCAATATTGGTAGTTAATTTTATTATTAAAAAATCCTGGACATTCCGAATTAGCTTAATATTAAAATCAACATGATTAATTTATCAGTCCATTTCAAATTTTTTTTCACATTTAAATATCAGAAAAGAGACAACCCTTATATCATTGTGGTCATCGTTTATATACAGTGTGTTATAAAATCCATTCCGATCCAAAAGGTACCAATAATTATAACAAAATACCATATGAATTTCAAATATGTTTTTTTGTAATATAAAATATGAAGGTCTGATTCACCAACAAATACCATTTGAATTCTTGTTAGCTTAACTTACATACATTTCTCATCACTACATAGTATAAAACAAAGTCGCTATCTCTGTCCCTATGTCACTTTGTGTGCTTAAATCTTTGAAACTACGCAACGGATTTTGATGCGGGTTTTTTTTAATAGATAGAGGAAAGTTTATATGTATAATACATGCATATTGCACCTGTGCAAAGCCGGGGCGGGTCGCTAGTACAAAATAATTCTATTAAAATAAGAGAAAAATATTTAGCAAATGTAAAATATAGGTCTCAAAATAAAATACCATTCATATTCATGTCGAACATGATACTTAAAATTGTGGTTTATAAAATATAAATTCATATAATTAATTTAGGTACAACAAATATCTACAACAATTTTTATAGCACCTACAATTAACAAAATAGGATTATATCCATGGAATAGTATTAACTTTTGATACGTAATAAACCTTCAGAGATCGGACAGGATTTTATTAAAGTATCAACACTCTATATATATACGGGAAAACCTGCATCTTTTTTATTTGGCAGTGTTTAAAGATTTGTATTTCAATCAAGTCATGATATTATGATCATAAGCAGGACAGTCTAACCAGACTTCAATCTCCGTATATTTATAGAACGCTTGAAAAAACCTCAACTTGAAGTTTAACTAGAAATACATATTTAAATATTTTGATCGTCTTAGAAGAATTGTGAGCGCACGGAGGCAGCCCTGACTGGTGGTGTCAAAGAAGCTGCCGAAGATCGAGACGCAGGTTTTGGAGTACAAAAAGTACAAGTTATACTCTTACTACCATTTGACACTGCTGTACTCTTAGACGTCTGACATCTGCATACATGTATTCCACGACGATTCGCTGTCCCCGTTCCATTTACACCCATCAGTTCTATAAACAGAAACACTTTATTTTAGTCAATACAAATAGTTACATATATAATACGATATATTGTGTTTCGCAATGTATGCGAATTAGAATAGGTTCACTGAAATTGTTATTGTGTACATTGTACATAATAATATTAACGATGCTATCATTGAATAACCAGTTATACCTAACATAACATTTTAAATGAAGAAATTAAATTCCAATTGAAAATTTTGTCAACTTTGGACTAAATCCGATTTATTCAAGCTCTGAGCAAAGCGCACTCCGTCATTCGACATAAACCGCATTTCGCCCTATATACAGTGCTTCGGTCTTTGATCACGACTTATTATGTACATTATATATCTTTTACACTGTAAAATCAAGCCAATAAACCACCATATGTTTTTGAAAAAGAACACTGACATTCCAATCACATAAATTCCATATGCTTACAGTGTGTAAATGTCCATATCACAATTAAGTAGATATAAAAAAAAACAATTCGTAAACCACACAATGAAATTAACGTATAATAAATATGGAATCAGTCAGTTATCAATCTGTTGCACGTTGCACCAATAGTAATCGTATAAATATTCGCAATCAAAATGCATGTTGATAACTGTCGAATGACTGCACCTAATTTGATAATTCATTTTGTCGCGTTCATTAGGTAAAGTTACGACAAGGTAAGACAAGAATAATTTTACAAATAACTTAGATAATTATCTTACGACAAGCTTCTATATCATTTCAAACAAAGTCATGCCAACAATGTGTATTGTATACATATAAAAACTTAGCTCAACAAGTGAAGGTAGATAGGTCGCTTTTAAAATTCAGTTGCAAGAATCCACTTCACACAAATACATACATTCATACATACATGCATTGCAAGTTTTATAAAAACTTGTTAAAATCTATAACATGGGCAAAAAGGACCCGGGTGAAGCAATAAAGGACCGTAGTCATCACTACATAGTATAAAACAAAGTCGCTATCCGCCGTCTGTCTGTCCCTATGTATGCTTAGATCTTTAAAACTACGCAACGGATTTTGGTGTGATTTTTTTAAATAGTGATTCTTAAGGAAGGTTTATATGTAAAATACATGCATATTGCACCCGTGCGAAGCCGGGGCGGGTCGCTAGTACATAATATAAAAATACCACGACATAATAACTTGGTATAAACCCTTTATCTATTTTCTTGTGTTCAACGTTTAATGTGTGTGTGTGCTCGACCGATACGTACGTAATTAACACTTAATAATTTCACCACAAACCTGAAATGTATAAATTTTGTACCAGGAACAATAAATAATGCCTACACGAAACAATTCATTTATAACATTTTACATCATCATCAGCTCAATTATGTGTAGCGTTAACATTAATTATGATATTAATCAAACAAATACATTTCAATATTTAACTAGGAGTTATCAAGGATTTCTATCAAACCAGCAAAACTATTTTTATGGCACGTATATGGCAGTCGTATTTTACATATTTATGAACGCAATAAACTCAAAAAAGGTTTTCCTATAGTGTATAGACACTACGGAGTGTCGCGGAAAACCTAACGGGTTACCAGGGCTCCAGCTCGAAGCGCAGGAGATGGAACGGGGTGGTTTTTAGTCAGTAAGAGTCTGATAGATCCCGCCTCGTCCAGGCAGGAGCAGTCATTCGTTGATTTTCCCCCTTAAAAAAGACTTTATGGAGTATATACTAAACTAGACATGTATGTAGACTGAGCATGTACAATATATAGTAAAAATGAAAATTGTGATTGAAGTACTTATAAATCAAATTCAAACATTAAATAAATGTCAAACAACAAAGCGGAATTATTCGGAAAATTTTGATTAATTAATTTTAGCGCCATCAAAGCTCTACTGAAGAGGAAAATAAGTCGAATATAAATAAAATTCAAAGAATTGCTAACAACGATATCAATTTTCTTATTACACATTTTTGGGATTCTGTTTCATTATTTATTAGCATGTTTGAGGATCTATTCAACTTTCCCGTGCGATATAATTAAGCAATTACTTATTGCTTATCATGAAATAAAACCTCTTTTTAGTATTATTATTCATAAAATATTATTTAATTCATTAACAGATAAAACAAATATGTACGTTTCTGATACAAGAGAAAATTTCATTTAACTAGGTAGGTATTATTTTACTTAAAGTGTAAAAGATATATTTTTTTAAAGATACTTTTCGCAATAAAAGCGATAAAAAGTTATTTTAACGTGTGTTACACAGTTTACATTCGTTATTTAGTTAAAGTATTTTTATTTTTACGGTTCGTTGTTAAAATTCTAGTTAACTTGGTTATTTATACGTATGTATGTACATATAATCACGGCGTAGGAATGATACTTAAATAAAAAGTAATGGATTAATATTAACGTTACAACCAATGTGATTCTTATAAAACTTTGAAGAAATTAGAGTCGTAAAACATTTGTATTCTTTCTGTAAATCCCTTAGACCTGATAAATAGGCGGATTTCGTCATTCTTTACTCTTGGCATCCATTACAGTCTTCACTCGACGAGACGAATTCATTTTAAGTATACGCAAAATGGCTTAGTTATGTACATACATCTCCTGCCGTAATCCATTATATATATATATATAAGGCATCGTTCACACTTAACGTATTGTCCGCCGCCGACTGTAAGTATGCGTACTGTCTGCCCAGAGTGAATTTGGACTCAATCTGCAGTACGCGTTCTCATCAAGCTGACAATACGCTGTAGCGAATTTAAAGTGCTACATGTATGAGCAAAAGAATAAGCAATCTAATACGCTGTTACATTCGGCAACATAGTCAATACGCGCCCGCCGTGCATAGACGGCACGCGTAGTACAATAATCGACCGACGAGAATTAGCGACAAAGTACTACCTAATAATCAATGTGAATGAGATGTTTACGGAAAAGTAATAAACTACGTAACGCGCGCTCACAGTCAGCAGCCGACAACACGTTTGGTATGAACGATGGAAGGCTTAATCACAAAGAACTTAACAATAGTTAATTTGATGATAATTGATATTAAATATGTCATATGTACACAAAGCACCGCTAATTAGTTGCAGCGCTACACATCGACACAACTGTCATTTACACAGTGTACATGTGTGCGTAATTTCATATAACTGTATATAAAAATATTCGTCCACCACGTTCACATTGGTATTTTCATTCTTGTGTCGGTATACGTATTTTTATAATTTAATGCATAGGTAAGGTTAAAACTATTTACAATCATTGATATGACCCGACATTTTCACTGTCATTATCGTAGTGCTCGTGGTCGATTGGTTAATGAGCACGCTTTTATCGTCTTTCAAGGATCAATGATGTGGGTTCTATTCCAGCTAAAAGTTAATTTTATTTTACCTTGTTATTTTTCTTATTTTTTTTTTGTTTTTTGTCATAAAATATAAATATCAGGCTATAAAAGAAGCAAATGAGTTGGTAAATAAAACAATACTATTTTTTATTACAATTAATTTATTTATTATACAAATATGTTGTTTTATATTCAATATTTATATCTAATAATTAATTATATACCACATGTTAAGTTTAAAGTTCTTTAAATCATAATTAATAGATATGACAATAAACCTCATAGTCGAATCGGGAAATATCATGCGGTACAGCGGTAATACGATGGCAGCAACATTTTTTATTAGTAATAAACAAATACAACATTCTTGTTTTGTAATTTAATAATATAATGTATTATTAAATTACAGTTTTACAGTAATAAACAAGTAAAACATGTAAAAAATTACACTGTCAACATAATATTTCTTGAAATGGGCGACTTTTTGTCGTTTGAACTTCCATTAATTATCTATTTTACGACGGTTGTTATAAGGTTCAATATTCAGTGGGCTGTATGATAGTAAAAAGAATGTGACGAATGCTATGGAACGATTTTAACTTTCATGACCTTTAGAATCAGGGAAACTTTAAATTAATTGAAGATGGGCGTAAATATAATATGTCAATCAAGTTCGAAAGCAGTTAAATAAATTTGTTAATGAAAAATTAAAGTGAAGTGAATAAACATGTTGAATAGAAAGAAATTATGACAATTTCTAACCACAAAACAATAACATCACTTCACCGTATGTTCTAGACAGCATTTTAATATTCTTAAAAAAATTAAACATTATTTTATGTTAATTTTAATAAAGGCAGAGTTTGACAGGCTCAATAATTGATTCCGAAATCAATACAATCACTGATCCTACAAGGCAGAAGGTTGCAATTCGTATACCTTTCTCCATCTTTTCTTCACAATATTTTACGCCCATCCTTATCCGACTTGAAAGTCTTTTCGTCGCTCAATATGATTACACTGTTCGCCCAATCAAAATTAATAAAGTCCTTAGCAAATTCTTAGCGCTTTTGCTGGTGAACCACAGATAACAATATTTTCTTCTCTGGCTTCCTGCACCTTAAACCAGAATGCAGGTGTCTCCGTACAGTTTGTATTAAAACATTCAGTGCTGTCGCTGTAGTGCGGGTTGGCAGGAACGGATCAGCCATGTGCCTGGCTACGATGTCGTAGTGCCGAGCCGATGAATTTGCCTTTGGTTTAGGCCCACGTCGACGATGTTTAACGTCACCGGTCTCCGCATATCTGTGCACCCATAACTGCATGGATCTCCTCTGTTGATACCAAACAAATAAGTATTTAAAATACCAGGAAATACTTTACAGGAATTAAAGTTACTTAAAAATAATAATAAATATAAGTAAACACAATGTTAGAATAATAATTTATAATTAAGTAGTGGCGTAAGGAATAAAAATCCCTAACCAGATATGTTTTAAAGAAACACTCCTAACAAAAACAAGTCAAGTTACAATACAATTAATAATAAATTATTAATATATCTTTATAATATTGAACTTCATAATAAGTTGCAATAATTATTTTATTCTAGTGCAAAAATTGATAGGTGTGTCGAGTTACAAAATGAAATAAATATTATTTAGAATATCAACGTAGTATCTTATTTACTCACCGATATCATTAAACGCCTTGCTATTTCAGTTATTGTTAGTTATGTTTTGCTCATGCAAAACAATGGTTTCAGCCTTTTTAAATGTTGATAGGTGTTGGAACATCTTGTAAAAATAAAAATAACTTTGCACACGAATATAAGTAGTGTAGCAATAAACTATGAAATCCTCATAAATTGACAACTAAGAACGCAATTATTTTGTAAGTCGGGTGATTTGAAAAACATGTTTTAAATAGTCGGTAGTTACTTCATAAGCGTGTAAAATAAAATGACTCGAGATTTCTATGGTCGCCACAAACATTGCAAATATACTCAGGTATCGAACCATTAAGAAATCACAGTTAATTACTTTTTTACTGTTTTTATCTTATTTAAGTTGGTTGAAATGCATGAAGCAAATGAGATTATTCTAAATAATAAATAACTAGAACTAAAATATAAATAAAAGATATTATAGGTATAAATAAATCTAAAGTATTTACTATTAAAATTAACATAAGATTTAGAACAATAGGAAAGGAAAAAAAAAGAAAAGATTTAATTGTTTCTAATTTCAAATTTCAAATATTTGATAAATTAATTCTAAAACAACATGTGAATGTTGGAATCGATCCGGCGGCACTTTACTTGACAATTGGAGGCGATAACCATTGCGCCAAGCGCGCTGTAGATGAGATCATCGAAATATTTTATATCATTCAGTAACATAAAATTACAATGAGAAAGCACTATATTTATATGGGTATTGTATAGCTCGATCGTTCATTATTTTTGATTTCGATTTATTCAAAGTTTGTTATGAGTAATTTTATCTTTACCCTCGTTTTTATTTAAACTTATTTACTAAATTATTGCGTATACCGACACAAAAATGATTTTTAAATACCAAGATGTGTGTGATAGACGAATGTTTCTATACATATCTATTGATATGAAATTACCCACACATGTATATTGTGTAAATGATAGTTGTGTCGATGTGTAGCGCCGCTAACTAATTAGCGGTGCTTTGTGTACCTATATGTACACTTTTCAACAAGAATTTTATATTTAAGTTTCATATAGGAATTGTTGGCGGAACTTATATTATCATATATTACTATAGTCAGGCACAATTTTAGACTGCCAACTGCCAACTACTTCTGAGAATTTGAAAATTGAAAAACTCGGTTCTTCCGATTCAAGAATCAAACTCCAGATTCCTTGTTTATATTCTAAATCAATTATTATATTTTCAGCTTACTTACGTAACTGTTCAGTAGCTGAACCACAGTCGCCGCGTCGCGGGTCGCGAAGTGCTGCTCATGAATATGAGCCTCTAGCATGGCTTGAAACTAGTCGAGTTACTCGTCAAACAGTTACGTGAGTAAGCCGAAAACATAATAATTAATCCAGATTCCTTGTACGACCGTCATGTTTGCTACTGTATAAATATCCAATATATACTTTCGAAAAGTATCGCTAAAATGTTACAAATAGAAATGATACTACGAAATGTTTGAAGAGCACACTAACTAACAAATAAATGACCGACTTGTCGACCGGTACATATTGAGTTCCAAGTAATTCAGGGCAACTTTCTCTCCTACTACTAAGAATTTTCTGACCATGGAACCTGAATAACGAGACCGCCAATAAGTCTCTTCAGAACAAAAATTATAAACTACCCATTATCGTAGTCATCGTTATCCTCAAAAGCAATTTAACTTCAAAATACCTCAGGGACAGAGGCGACTAGAATAAATATTTCACGAGGCCTTTGACATAATATTGTAGGCCCACGACCCTTCAAATTGTTATAGTTTACTTCGTGATATTGATCTTTTAATTATAGGTCAAAGGGATTGTATTGAGCTTACTGTGTAGTTAACAACAATGCTTTTCAGCTTCTCTAGTTAATATTAGATTATCTTAAGATCCCGTTTAAAATAATGCGACAACGTTTGAGCCGATTTTGGTATGGCTACTTATCGGCATCATTACTATCAACCTGTTTTCAACCACTGCTGGATACAGGTCACACCAAATGTAATAATTATAATAATATATGGTTTATTGTACACCAAAAAATAATATGCCTTTTTTTTAAGGGGGGGGAAATCATCGATTGACAGCTCCCGCCTAGGGTGAGGCGGGAGGGAGTGTCAGACTCTTACTGACTAAAAACCGCCTCGTTCCTTCTTCTGAACGTCGTCGAGCCGGAGCCACGGTTACCCGTTAGATTCTCCGCGACTCCGAATCGGCATCGGCCCTGTTGGGCCCCATCTGTGGTGGTCTGATGGCTCTTTGATCTCGACGCTCGAAAATAATATACTACAGTACAATAATACCTAACAAAAATAGTGTACAATGGCGGTCTTATCGCACAAGGCAATTTCTTACAGACAACCTTTGGATGGAGCAGTAATAGGAGTCTGATATGGGTCGTCAAGTGTACAATAATTAATAACTGTATAAAATGTATACCATTGACTGATCTTAATCTTCAGTTCATAGCATCATAGATCGGGTACTTTACTTAACTCGTCGAGTACCGTCATTATAGACACAATTATAGAACAATAGGTTGCGGTCACCGGTGACCGCTTGGTGTTTGACAGTTTAAATAGTAACAGGACAACCACATAATTATACGTGTGTACAATTGTACACTAAAATCTAATTTTCATCAAGTTAATCTGTTTACTAAGCGTTGCCCTCAAAATGGGTACTAAAGCACGTAGTATTGTTTAATGCCAGCAGTGATCAGCAGATATAATAGATGAATTCAACTAATACAATTTCATTGTGGCCATTATTATTGTACATAATGTAACACCTTGTAATGCTATTGGCAAAGGTATACAATGTTAACTTAATTTAACTATACTATTATAACTATGTACAATGTAAGCATCCAATGCATGAGAGCTTCGAAACCTACTAATGGCAAGTACCAATGTGACATTTTCCAAGTTGTATGTACTTTCTAAGATTATTGAGACACCACTGACAAACAGTGAAGAAAAACATTGTTTGGAAACCTTGGCATATAATTCCAAATTATAAGTTTAAAATTGCCAACCACGAAGCAAACGTGGGAATAATGCTCAAACGTTCTCCGTGTGAAAAGGCTTTGCTCAGCCGCGGGCACTTATAGGATGATGATGATATTCAACTTATTAAGTTGTTGCTATTCTGATTTTTTCAATTATAGGGTAAATTATCGTTCCTAAGTGTTATAAATTAATGATCATCAGATTATCATAGGACGTCGGCTAATGAACAGGGGCTACCGACTGGAAAAAAAATTGATACTCGTATTTTTTTAATCAGATTTTGTTTATACGTTTTGTAATTGAAATTACAATGACCCTTAGGCTGCCAGATAGAAAGATCAAGATAAAGGTTCAAACTGAACAGTTTAAACAGACTGCTCCGTAGGGAAATATTCAAAGTAATTGCACACAAATTTGAAACTAAATTAATGGTAGTTAAACTATAAATCAATCTACAAACGCCAGCAGGTCAACATACCCCTTTTCGTCTAATTTTATTACATTTTAAATGTTATTGTATTGATGTACATAGAAGCGAAATTCCAATGAAAAAAAATACAGTTTGGAGTAGATTCATCTGCTGGCAATATTATTTTCTGAAAAATATTTCTATTGAATTCCCAGAAGTCACAACACGCTACAGCCTTCATAGAATGGTGTTGGATCACAATAAAATTCTTGGTTTTTTGCTACAGCCTTCATAGAATACTTTTGGATTACAATTAAATGCAAAATGAATTGTGTAAAGCTTTTTAGTATCATATTGTCACATTTATAGTAAAATTCAATACCTTTATAACTATATGCGTTTTTCTCCTATTATTATGAGCTACTGATATCGATACATTTGAATAACAGATGGGGTTACGATTTGATCAAAGATTTGCATAAAAAATGCTGATAAAATCTAGTCATAGCGTGTCGCTCAGACAGAAAAATATAAAAGATAAAGAACTCTGTTGTCTTATTTTTAGAAAACATTTTGGTGCGATCACATTTCAAGGAAGACGAAAGCAAGCAATTTTATCAAGTGGATATCGTGTAAATATTAGGTTATCTTACCTGACATAGGTATGCCCTCACAAACACTTGACCTTTGACACGGCCTGGTCGAGTCCTTTTTCTTCAAACATAGCAACGCACTGAATATCTGTTAAAAATAACATTCTTATTAAATTAGATCATAAATACAGCTACATTTAATTATAGACTTTAACTACTGAGCAATTAAGTTTCAATTAACCTGCCTATGAATGAAATGTTTATTATAATTTATCATGTTCACAGCTGTCGTCTTTTCACCAACAAAATATACTTAATCTAACCTTGGAACACTTGCGTAATGAGTAAAAATACCGTCTCCCATAACAGACGAGACATTTGAATTTCAAATATAATTGGTAAGAAAGACCTTGTTATTTCCTATGAAATTCAAAATAAAAACATCCTTCGTATTCGTATTAAGTGATGCAAGCAACTTGAGTGGATTAGAGAAAATTAATTACTGCATATAATTAGTTAATTAGACACTTAATACGGCACATCGAAATATTCTCCTAACATAGTATCTACCAACCAAATTACTAAATTGAATTAAGAAATATTTCACTAAAAACAATTATTACAGGATTTCATTATAGTAATAGGATTTATTTAAATAGAATCTACATTTAAGTAAGCGCATAATACCTAAATTAATACGGCTTACTCATTTCAATTATTCGAGAAAAACTCTCGTCTTCGTATCTTTAATTAATTTTGTATCACGAAAGAACTCTCAAATTGTTAACAATATATTATTATACCTCTTGGAATCCTTGCCGGTACCGAATGTTCATGTAGCAGTAGATCATAGGGTTGTAGCAGGAGTGTGACATCGCCAGCCAATGACATGCGAACCACACGTACGGCATCCCTGGCCACGAAGCCCACTCGTCGTCATTCTCGTGCACCGTCCATAAAACCTAATATCAAAAGTTTATTAATATACAAAAATAAATAAGAATTTATACATCTTCGTGAACAGTTTTAACCAAAGAGTAAAATATGAGCGATATTACTCTACTTTGACTGTGCCTTCTGAAAGGATGCAATCCTTTAATTTTATGCATAATCTAGTTTAATAAAAGTAATTAATGATATACTACATCTAGGTAGGTACCTAATGAATGGTATAACGTGTAATTTTAGGTAATCATTTTTAAGTGACTACGCGCATTGACTACGAAACTTCGTTGCTACGAATGTTCCGTAGCTATTGTAACGTGCTACGCGTTTCGTAGCAATCACTGTTAAGACCTGTTTCAAAATTTCTGACTAAATGTCTTTTAGCTTAACTGAACCACATTTTGTATGTAAAATTACGAGTAGGTCTTTACGATATTAAACTTGTAGTAAGAGTTTTATTTATTAAACGTAAGTCTACTAAAATTGATACAATAGTCCTCCGTAATAAATATTAACTTTTGAAATTCTGCCTTGGAATAGAAAGAGTTGCTCGTTAAGCGTCGAGACCTGGTATAGTAACGAGACTATTATATTTGTCTCTAGTTACAATAAGACTATATCTGAATATAATATGATAAGACTGAGTATTATGTACTCAAATTGGGACAGGAACAGAATAATATAAGCATATTTTACCAAAAAATCACACTTTGCTCAAATTAACCGTAATTATAATAATTTTGTGAATTGGCAAACATAATATAATTATGACCAAAACTCACAGTTCAATGCATTAATCAAAACGTAATTAGCAAAATCATTGAAACGAATATTGTAAGTTTCGCTGTGAGCAAAGCTAATTATTGGTTTTGTAATATTTGTACAACGTAGATGTAACGTATTTATTCTATGCTTATATACTGTCGACTGGTCTATTCAAAGCGATGAAATCACAATGTTGTATGCAACAATTCTCCCAATCTACGCAGGGAACAAATATTTGCTGCCATACCACGTATATATTGGACATAGACTTATATCGTTGGATAGGCCGAAAGCAATTTACGATGTATTCAAATTTTAACACTTTATCAACAAATAAGCCGTCTACATCACTCTCTAGCCTTCTAACTCTCTCCAGATACAAAAATTCCACACTATAAAAAGGTTTAAAGCAAGCGTGGTGATTAATGCTCAAACCGTCTCCGTGTGAGAAGCTTTGCTCAGCAGTGGGTTGATGATCAAAGACAAAAAATACAAACAATATATTTCACATTTATATTATTAGTATGGATGCAACTCCACTAGAAGCCTATTCACATTAGGGAATTTGAATCATATCGAAGAATCCGACAGGCCATTAAATATCGTGCGATGTAAATTTTGTGGTTTCATGTCAATTTTACGTAACGCGGTACGGAAATAAATCCGAGCGAATTTTATTTCGCTGTGGGTAGAACCTAACATAAGTGTGAAGATATACTAGGTATTATTATGGTACGACGATCACACTGAATTGTTGGGATGTTCCGGGTCTGAGAGTGATGTGTTATTTCCGTTCATAAAAGTACCAACGAAAGAGGACCACATTGCAAAATGGGACAGCATTTGTATTTTTTTTTATTTTAGTAAAACATTTCACATCAATCCTTAAAAATAGAAAGATAGATGAAGATATATATATATATATATATATGTTAAATTGGATCTCAACATAATCATTTGTATTAAATATCTGTGGTCATAATAGAATATAAGTGCATTCCTGTATTGTCTATGATTATTAAAAAAAGAATATATTGTTTTTAGTTCTGTTTCCGGATCTCAACTCCGTTGTTTCATTATAGGTTATGGGCCCAGTAATTCGTTATATTCTCGCAGAAAACTTGCCGATTAGTGCTGTATAAGTTTTAGCAGACTGAGAATAAGCTGTGCTGGTGAAAATGAGTACGAACTATGTTGTTAGTGTACCTAAGTTAAAAGGTCGTGAGAATTATGCAGAGTGGGCTTTCGCGGCGGAGAATTTTTTGGTGTTGGAAGGAACTTCTAATTGTATCATAGAAACTAAACCAACAGAAGCCGAAGCTGACGCGAAAACCAAGGCAAAATTGATCCTAACAATAGATTCGTCGTTGTATGTACATATAAAAGAAGTGAAAAGTACAAAGGAGTTGTGGGACAAACTCAAGCAATTATTTGATGATTCTGGATTCACAAGGCGAATCAGCTTGTTACGAACATTGATCTCGATTCGTCTGGAAAATTCTGCTTCCATGACCTCATATGTCACGCATGTGATTGAAACTAGTCAGAAATTAAGTGGAACAGGATTTAACATTAACGATGAGTGGGTCGGATCGTTGCTTTTGGCTGGGCTATCTGAAAAATACGCGCCAATGATTATGGCCATTGAACATTCTGGAATGAAGATAACAGCAGACGCCATTAAAACCAAGTTAATGGACTTGGAGGAAGACAGGGGCGACGTTAGCGGAAATAACGGAGCGTTTGCGAGTTTTCGCAACAGTAAGGTTGGCGCTACTGGAACCAAAGATTCAGATAATAGACAACTGTCAAAACCAAGGCGGAAAATAACCTGCTACCGGTGTAAACAAACGGGGCATTATCGAACTCAGTGCACTAATTTTAATAAAGATTCATCTGATAATAAAAGTAAAATACCTGAACGTAAACAAACGATTGCTTTTAGCGTCGTGTTTTTGAATGGCGAATTTTCGAAGAATGACTGGTATGTCGATTCGGGTGCGAGTGCTCATTTGACCGCCAATGAAAATTGGCTGAAGAACACCTCGACTGATCATTCTATTAAAGAGATTCTGGTTGCCAACAAAGAAAAGGTGATTGTCAAATGTTCAGGTGATGTGCAAATTGCTACAATTACAGATGATTGTGAATATGATGTGGTTGTTGAAAAAGTTTTATGTGTTCCCAGTTTAACCACCAATCTATTGTCAGTCAGTCAATTGATAGCAAGAGGCAATAAAGTATATTTTACTAGTGATGGTTGTCAAATTTACAACAAGATGACAAGTTAGTTGCCACAGCTTGTTTGATAAATGGTGTCTACAAATTAAAAATGCCTGAAAGGTTCCTAGCTGCAGTGGCGATTCCAAGTGATATATGGCATCGACGGTTAGGTCATCTGAATAGTAGCTATTTGAATAAAATGCACAATGCAGTGGAAGGGCTCACACTCGACAGAAAGGCTAATATTTCGAAGTCGTCGTGCATAGTGTGTTGCGAAGGCAAATTGAATCGATTGCCTTTTCCACAGAATGGCAGTAGAAGTGATGATTTACTTCAGGTTGTTCACAGCGATATATGTGGGCCATTTAGCAATGTCTCTATTGGTGGTTCAAGATATTACATTTTATTTTAGATGACTACAGTCGAATGATGTCTATCTATTTCCTGAAAAATAAAAGTGAAGCCCTTGATTGTTTTAAAAAATATAAAGCATCTGTTGAGAATCAACTAAATAAGAAAATTAAGAAGCTGCGTACTGACAATGGAATGGAATATTGTAATAAAAAGTTTGAAGAATATCTCAGCAATGCTGGAATTGGTCATCAAAAGAGCAATCCTTACACCCCGAACAAAATGGCTTGGCTGAACGCAGCAATCGTACAGTGGTGGAAAAGGCAAGATGCCTATTGTTTGATGCTGGTTTGAATAAAAGTTTTTGGGCTGAAGCAGCACATACTGCTGTTTATCTTCAGAATAGAACAGTAGCAACAGCTTTAAATGGAAGACACCATATGAGATGTGGACAAAGAAGAAGCCAGACATAAGTCATTTGAGAGTTTTTGGAAGTATAGTGATGATGCATGTTCCTAAAGAAAAAAGGTTGAAGTGGGACAAGAAGGCTGAAAAAGGAATACTAGTTGGTTATCCAGAGGATGTAAAAGGTTATCGAATTTACAATCCAGAAACAAAAGGAGTTACAACCAGCCGTGATGTAATCATTATTGAAAAACCTAGACAGGCAGAAAGTCCAGTGCAAATCGAAGAGAAAATACATTCAAACACTGAACCAAAGGCTGAATGCTCTGAAGTATTTCTAGATTCAGTGGGGGACATATCATATGAATCTGAAAGTAAAGATTATCATGATGGTGATGAAACTTACATCCCTGATGAAGATGATTGCTCCAGTAGTGGTGAAAGTGAAGTGAGTGTTGTTAAAAAGGATTTGTGTAGGCGCAGGCAGCCACCAAATAGGTATGGTTTTTCAAATGTTTGTTTGGAAAGTGCTAGTTCAATAGATGATAGTGAACTGTCATTGGAAGATGCGTTAAATGGACCTGAGAAAGAACAGTGGTTAGAGGCAGTGAAAGATGAGTTACAGTGCTTTGAAGACAATAATGCGTGGGAACTTTCTGAGGTACCTGTTAATAGTACTATTGTTCAGTCTAGATGGGTTTTGCGTAAGAAGTTTGATAGCGAAAATAGGGTAAGGTTTCGTGCCAGATTAGTAGCTAAAGGCTTTTCTCAAAAACAAGGTATAGATTATACAGAGACCTTCTCGCCTGTTGTTAGGCACACAACCCTACGTTTATTATTTTCACTATCAGTGCAATTGGGGCTCCATGTAACACATCTTGATGTGAAAACTGCTTTTCTCAATGGTGACCTAGAGGAAACCATATATATGTATAAACCAGATTGTTATAATATTCCAGGTAGTAATAATAAAGTGTTAAAACTTAAGAAAGCCATTTATGGTTTGAAGCAGGCCTCTAGGGCCTGGAATGAGAAATTAGATAGGTGTTTGCTTGAAAGTGGTTACAAGAAATCTAAACTTGAACCGTGTATTTATACAAGGAACATTGATAATCATAAAACTATTGTTGCAGTTTATGTTGATGATTTTTTTATTTTTAGTAATGATGACAAGGAATGTTTAGACCTTAAGAATACATTGTCAAATAAGTTTACAATAAAAGACCTAGGACAAGTGAAACAATGCTGGGAGTGAATATAAAGTTTGATAAGT